GCATGCTATTTGGAATATTCTTGTTAATTTGCCATCAACTAAATTCAAGACCTGAGCTTTTTAACCACTTAAGCAATTCACATGAACTCTTCCTTGGATTGTCAGCTTCTTAAATAACCTGAAAGTTATTTTTGCTAACTACAGAGTTATGGATTATTTTCCAAGTGTTACACTAAATTAACTAACTACTACTCAGTGATGGAGCTCAGAATGAACTCCCATTTATCAGGTTCCCAAGCCTGGATAACACATTCTGGAAAGAGAGCAAGTGCTGTGTGAGAATACACTGCATCCTCTGCTTTTATGTTATTTAGTTTCCCAGTACTCTTTAAAAAAAAAAAAAAGACAAAGTCCCTCTGTATAGCCCAGGTTGGCCTCAGAGTTGCGATTCTCTTGCCTCTGCCTCCTGAGAAGCTGGGGTTATTTGAAGTGCTTTTGGGGACAGGGTAGTAAATACTAAAATCTGTTCCCTCATAATTTCTGACATTTGAACTTTTTCAGAGAACAAATAGGAGGATTTGATGAGCTTAGAAACACTCGTAAGAGGAATAGTGAAATAAACTTGTCCACAAACAGTCCCTAAGTAATTATTTTTTGTCATCAGTAAATATTCCCAAAATATGTCAGTGTGTTGAAATCATGAGATTTTTTTTAAAAATCTTTAATATTGTTAATAAAACTTTATTTTGCTAGTTACAGAAATGAATATACATTATAAAAGTCACAATACAAAAAGTAGAATATACAAAATAATGTCATCTAAAAAACTGTAGCACCTAGAGATAACTACTGTTGATTTAGTAGTCAGATTCTCTTTTTTAAGTATATAGACCTAAAATTCACTTGCCAACTCACATTTTATGCATCTAAGATCATACTATACCTGTGCTATGTGACCTTCCATTTTTTCCCTACAATATCTTCCAACATCAATAAATAGAAATCTCTGACACTACATTTAATGTCTTTGGCTAATTGGAAATGCCACAATTTCTTTGACTGTTGCTGAATTATAGATATTTAGGTTGTTCCTAAATTTCTTTCCACAGACAGTTCTGGTGCATCACTGAGAATATAACTTGCACATTTTACCAGTTTTCATTTTTAGAAGTGGAATTTCTTTTTTGTTTGTTTGTTTTTGTGGGTCTGGAATTTGAACTCAGGGCCCTGCTAGGATGATACTATATCCCTTGAGCCACGCCTACAGCCCTTTTTGCATTGGCTACTTTTGAGATAGGGTCTTGCTTTATGCCTGGGCTAGCCTGAACCACGATCCTCCTATGTATGCTTCCTGCATAGCTGCACACCACCTCGCCAAGCTGTTGTTTGAGATTAGGTCTCAGGAACCTTTTGCCCAGGCTAGCCTCAAAATGTAATCTTCCCCATGTATACCTCCCACGTAGCTAGGATTATAAGCTTGAGCCACTGCATCAGGCTAGAAATGGAATTGTATTGTAGTTTTTTAAGACAGTTGACTCAGCATCTGTAAACTTCATATTTTATTTTCTTAAGACTAACACTACCCTAGACAGAACAGAATGAGTTTTACTGTTACTCATACCTTGAGAAATTTCACTTTTTTTGTTTGTTTGTTTGTTTGCAGACCAGGGTTTGAAATCAGGGCCTTGAGTCATTCCTCCAACCCTTCTTTGTGATGGGTGTTTTCAAGATAGGTTCTCAAGAACTATTTGGCTGGGCTGGCCTCAAACCACAATCCTCCTGATCTCTGCCTCCTGAGTAGCTAGGATTACAGGCATGCACCCAGCTGAAATTTCACTTTTTAAGATTTGCTTTCTGAGTGGAAAGGCTGCTGGGATTTGTTTTTCTCCTATAAAACATAAGTTTTGTATGAGATATGCACAACTTTTTATCTGCGGCTTCTACAATGTCCAGTCTCATGGGCAGCATCTTCCATCTGCAGTCTATCAAAGCTGTTATCTCTGCCAGTGCAGCCATGCAGGCAGGCAGGCAGACAGAGGATCAATTGACCATGTCTCTTTTGTTTATCCCTTCCCTCCCTATCCGGTTCTGTCCTCTCTAAGCTTCCAGTGTCATCTGCTCACCAAGCTTAATGTGTTTTACCTTCACTTAGGTCTCAACATCAATTCCTTTTAAACTCAGTGGTTACTTAGGTAACTCTTCAAAGTCAGTGTCTAAGGATCTTTAATCTTTCTAACTCCTGTTGCCTTACTTTTGTAAAGTCCTTTGGTCACTGGAGGTGCACAGTCAGTATTAAGTGACTCAAGTATTGGTAAGTTACTTTTCTAGAGCCATTTGTAATTTGCTGATATTTTTATTTTTAGTATACTATGGAGGGAAATGATATACCTTAACCTAAATTACTGGTATATTAGAACAGATTATGGTAGCATTAATAAAAATAATCTTAACAATTCCTTTGCTAATTTTTGCTATTATGTTAGGTAATTAAACTGTTATTTACTTAATGACACTTCAACTATTAAAGTTGTCATTTGGGGTACTTGATTTATTTTTCCCCTGTGTTTAGCAAAGTTGTTTTTTTTTTAAATCACACTCACTGTGTTTTCATTTAATTATTATAGCAAATATACTTATAAGAATCTAATTTGTAGCCAAATCAGAACATATGATACACATTGGTTTCTTCTAAGCCTAAAAGTGGTATTAAGTACCTGTGATCTATTTAGTACTTTAAATTCTTTTCTTTTTTTTATTATGGAAAGCTTCACAAATTTGCATCATCCTTGCCCGGAGGCCATGCTAATCTTCTTGGTATCATTCCAGTTTTAGTATATATGCTGCCAAAGAGAGCACAGTACTTTAAATTCTTTAGTTCTTATTTTCAAGGAGTTATCTGTGACCTATCAATTTGGATTTGTAAAAATTAACACTCCAAATCAAAAGACATGTCACCTCAAGGAGACAAAACAGTTCCAGGACTTCCAAGTTTTTTTTTTTTTTTTTTTGGTGGTGGTTTTTTGTTTTTGGTTTCATTTTGCTTGTGGTACTGGGGACTGAACCTAGGGCTTTGCAGTTACTAGGCAAGCACTCTACCACTTGAGCCACACCTCTTGGCCAGGACTTCTAAGTTTTGACTGTAACTTGGTTATTATAGTAATAATGCTGGGGGAAAAGCTATGTCAAGAAGCAAGATTGCTTAATCGTGTATGCATAAAGAAAGGAGAGGCACTTTTTGAACCTATTTAAGCACTTTTCTGGGGAGAAGAGCTGGGCCCCAGGTCCCTCTTTTTGTGAGACTGGGATTTGAACTCAGCCCTTTAAAGTAGGCACTCTACCACTTAAGCCAAGCCATCAGTTCATTTTACTCTGGTTGTTTGGGAGATGGGGTTTCAAAACTACTTGCCCAGGCTGGCCTTGAACCTCAGTCCTCCTGATCTCAGGTCTCCCAAGTAGCCAGGATTATAGGGGTGAACCACCAGCACCCAGCTGCCCAGGTCCCTCCTGAGAGAAAAAAGTAATTACATAGAAGCCATACCTTCTAGACCAAGCTGGGGGATCTGGTTTAAAGTTTTCCTAAATAAGTGGTCAAATCACCTGGTAACCCTTACTCATTTTTCTAAGTTCCTGTTTTGGTGTTTTACCATCCAAACATGGAGAACAGTAGGTTTTAGGGTGGCTTGACTATTACCCAAATGTGTAGAAAATGAGTGTAGTTAGTTGTGCATCTGCTGTTTTGTGATCTTGACCATTCTTTTATGGTCAGAGTATTAATTCAGCAGGCATACCCTCTATTCTGTTCTGGAGTCCTACTCCTCTTCTAAGAAGATTGTAACTCACTAAAAGAAAGGACTGTGATGGATGCATATACTTTCTCAAGAGAATTAATTTAGCTTTGGCTACTCTAAAAGAAAGATTATTTAGCAATATCTTAATTATTTAGGTATGGCTTCTCTTTAGAATTCAGAATGCTCAGAAAAGGGAAGGAAAGCAAAAGTCACTTTAACAAGGACAACTCCCAATGGAATAACCACTGTTAACAGGGTAAAATTTTACTCATATATAAAATATGTAAATCCTTTATTGATTTCTTTTCGTCTTAGTTCCTGACTCTGACTTATTTTCACGTTTTCTGATTTCCCTATCAATCTTGTCCTATCTATCTTGCCTCAGCATATTGTCAAAGGATTGTAACTAAAAACAACGTATGTAAATGTCTCTACATAATGTATTTTAGCACCAATTTAATATAAAATCATAGCTAACATTTGTAGTATGCTTTTTCTGTGTGAAACACTTTGTAAGAGTCCTTTATATATGCAGGTCCACAATTTAAAAAAAGAAAAAAAGCTCTAGAAACCAAAAGCATTGCCTGAACTCATTTGATGATAAATGATGCCTTGAATTTAATTGGACTATTTTTATAGACTTTATCTCATTTAATTTGAATAGTCACTTATGTCTTGCAGAAATAATAATGTGGGTGCTGCCTCAGATCATCCTAGTTTTGTATGTTGAATAAATACCTGGCTTTATTGAATTTTAAGTGATTTATTTTTGTTTTGGGGAAGAACGGTGAGTGGTTGGAAGTGGGTAATAGTGTTTAGAGTTTTTGTTATTGTTATTTTTTTTAAGCCACTCTTGCATCATGAGATTTGTCTTGGATCTAAAAAGTACTGGACATGCTTTTCAGCCTCACTGAAGTAATCAAAATAAATGCTGAATGATGTTAATGTAGCACATAGAGTCTAATTTGGTTTTCCATAGAAAAAAATCTGTGTTACTTTTTTATGAGATATAATCTTTGTTTCTTTTTATTAGAAACTTTGAAATAACTAATCTTAGCTTTGAAACTGTGTTTAGTAATCATAGTTGATAATTCTGCTTACTTGGTTGTATTCTCAGCCCTTTTCACTGGTAATCTCTGTGTTAAACAGAAAGAATCTTAGGAACCTCCCTTTCAGTTATCATTTTGGAAATCTTATTTTTAACAGCGCTTTTCTTTCTTGGCTTGCATGACATTTTATCTTTCTTTTCCTTTCTTTTTGCCGTTTGCAAAGACTCTTGGGAGGATTTGACAGATTTGGTGGAGCAAATGCGTGATGATACAGAAGGTGCGTGCCACACCAACATCTTTCAGCTTGTTTCTTTTTTTAATTTTCTAACCACCTTTTAATTGTTTTCCATAAGAAGGAGTGTCAGATTTGGATTTTATTTCCCCTGGCAATAACTGAGAAATCCCTGTGCTTGTGGTTCCAAGTAAAATAGTGTTATGTACATTTACACTGTTTCTATAGGATATTTGTTAAATAAATTTTTGTTTTTCATTTATTTGTTGATGTATCTGTGAATTTCACAGGAAAAGCAAATCTCAGGATCTAACGTGTTTGGTCTGAAATAGTGCTATGATCTGTAGCTTGCCATAGCATTAAACACTTTCAGATTTATCAGTTGATAGCATTCCTTCCTAATGGAATTATTTTGGAAAGTAACACATCTACCAAGGTATGAATGTTTCCCAAACCAGCAGTTGTTTCCTGTGTAATCATGGCAATGTAACTTTAGGGAGTTCACAGTGATTTACACATTTTGTACTAAAAATAGAAAAACTGAGTTTCTGCTCCATTTTATTGTCTCATTTCCTATCCACTCACTTTGCCCAGGCAACTAAAGGTGCCTCCAAGCTTTGGCACATGATCCCCTACCACACATCCACCACTCTGCCCCAACAGGCTTTTGCACTGTCCTTCCCCCGGGTTACCCGTCCTCCTTTCCTGCTTTGTTCACATGACATCTCAGAGCATTTCCTCCCTCTGCCAGTGCCACTGCCCAAAGGTAAGAGCTCCACAAAGCGCTCTTTGACAGCATTGACCCACATTCATTTCTCCATTCGTTTATCTGCTGTAGAACTCAAAGGTTAAGGCTTATTGCTTGTTCTCTAGTTTTTACGTGTTCATAAGACTGAAAAGCAAGCAGAGCTTGTCTTAAGCTTCTTGGTATTCTTATTAGATCATCCTTAGTAGATCTGCTCACATCAAACAAAACCAAGGCAGTTTTTTCTCTGTAGTGATGTTCAACCTCATTTTCTTCTATACCTTCCATTGAATGAGTGAATTAGGATCCTGAGTTTCATTTATTTTCCCATTGCCAAACTATTTTTATGCGATATTTGATTCTGCTTTTAATATGACTGATTGCGTGTAATTAAGTGGGAAAAATCAGTATTGTTTACTTGATTGACAATTCATGGACAAGAAAAAAGAGGATATTGATTCATTTAGTGAGTCCTGTTTACTATTGTGTTGGCTGTTATTTTTGTTTTCATTATCTTCTCCCAGGTACCATCAAGATTAAGGCTATCATTCCTGAGGGAAAATGCTAGATAAAATTCAATAGGCCAGGCATGGTGACTCTCACCTATAACCCCAACATGGAGGAGGCTGAGGCAGTGTGATTGAGAGTTCAAGGCCAGCCTGGACCCTGTCTTAGCTAGATAGATGAGAGAGAGAGAGAGAGAGAGAGAATACATGTAATTCCAGCACTTTTTTTCATTCCTACCGACAATGCACAAGAGTGCTAAGCTTCCTCTTTTCTTAAAAAAAAAAAAAAAAAGACTTATTTTTATATTCTAGCCATCATAATGAGGGTGAAGTGGCATCTTATTTTGGTTTTGACTTGTATTTCCCCAAAGAGCATCTTCTCATGCATTTATTGGACATTTCTGTATCTTCACTGAAGAAATGCCTATTCAAATCCTTTGCCTTTTTTACTAGATTGTCTTTTGTTAAACTGAGGGTTCTTTATATATTCTAAATAGTAGACCTGTTTTATAAATATCTTCTGCCTTTCCATGACTTATCTTCACTTTCTTGATGGTGTCCTTTGAAGCACAAATCTTTTTTAATTTTATTGAGGTCCAATTTGTCCATTTTTTCTTTTACTATTTTGTGTTTTTGGTGTCATACCTAAGAAACCAGTGCTCATCCTAAGATCACAAAGATTTGGACCTGTATTCTTTCTGAGAGTTTTGTAGTTTTAGCTCTTAAACGTTGGTCCATTTTGAGTTGAATTTTTAAGTAGCATATGTGGCATGGCTATTGCTGGACATTCCAGGCAAGAAATGAGACATAGCACAAGATTTTATCACACTACTCAAAAGAGCCTGCAGTTTAAAACTTAAGAATGTTTACTGCTGGTATTTTCCATTTAATATTTTCAGACCACAGTTGACCTCCCACAGAAGGCATAATCTCACAGAAGGGTCTGCTGTACAATTAAGTTTTGAGTATTGATCTTATACCCTGTAGCCTTGCCAAATTTCATTTACCAGCTGATACTTTTTGGGTTTTTTAAAAAATATTCTTATTAGTTTATAATAGTTGTACAGGAAGTTTTGTTGTCACATTTCCATGTATGCACATGATGTACCCCAGTTTGGTTCATCCCCTCCATTGTTCTCCCTCTTCCCCTCCCCCCTTCTTAAAATGACTTTGACAGATTTCAATGTTCCACATTCATACGTATGTAGAAAATGCATCAACCGTATTCACCCTCTTTATCCTCTTCATTTACCCTCCCCTTCTTGCTAACACCCTTCACCTTAACATGACCTGTTTTACATTCCTGTCCTTTACTGTTTTAAGTATCTATTCATGGTTCGGTGGTTTTACTGTAAATATATGGTACTTTAATCAATCTGACTTCCTCTATTACCCTTCCTTATCCTTTTTCCCCATCCTATATTGTTCACCAGTTTTCAGTGTGTTTTGTTGTATCTATACAGATGCGGTGTATTTCAATATTATTCACTCTATCATTCTTTTCTTCTTTCCCTCCTCCCCTAGTCTCTCCTAACAGCCCCACTATTAAAAATGTGTTTTGTATATATATATATACAAAACATGTATATACAAAACATGTATATATATATATGTGAATGATAATGCTTATATTTGTATTTGGATCTATATCAAAGAAAAATATGTGATCTTTGTTTTTCTGAACTAATACTTTTTGTGTTTTTATGGATTCTTTGGGATTTTTAATATATAATAAGATGCCATCTGCAAATAATAGTTTTAGTTTTTCCTTTCCAATCTAGAGGCCCTTTGTTTTCTTAACTAGTGGTTCCTTCTAGACCCTCGTAAGCAGTTTTGATTAGGAGTGGCAGGAGTTAACATCCTTATCAGCTGATACTCTTTGGGTTTTTGTTTGTTTGTTTGTTTTTTGGTAGTGCTAGGGTTTGAACTTCTTAGGCAGGTGCTCTTTGATCTTTGGGAAAGACTTTAGCCTTTTACCTAAGTATTATTTTAGATATAAGTTTCATAGATGCCTTTTATCAGATTGAGGAAGTTCCCTTCTCTTGCCAGAGTTTTGACTATAAGATTGCAAGGTATTGGATATGTCAGATGCTTTGTCTGCTTCTATTGAAATGATCATGTAGTTCTTGTTCTTTATTCAGTTAACTTGGTGTATTACTGTGATTGATTTTTGTATGTTAGATCAACCTTGCATTCTGGCACAAATCCCACTTAATCATGTTACATAGCTTTTTTATGTGTTGTTACTTTGTTTGCGAGTATTTTGTTGAGAATTTTTGTAGTCATAAGAAGTACAATAGTTTATGTCTTTGTTTAATTTTTGGTCTCAAGAAAATAACTGGCCTCACAGAATGAGTTTGGAAGTTCCCATCTCTTCTGTTTTTTGGAATAGTGGTAAAGGATCAGTGTTGATTCTTGAAATGATTGATACATTTCAACACTTAGGTCATTTGATCCTGTTCTTTTTCATGTGAGATTTGTTTTTATTCCTAACTCAGTATCTTTATTGTTATATGTCTATTCAGATTTTCTATTTCTTCTTGAGTCAATTTTGGTAGTTTGTATCTCTGTAAGAAGCTATACATTTCATCTATTATATCATATGTTGGCATACATTTGCCCAAAATATACCATTATAATTTAGGGGAAGGGCATTCTGTAAAGTCAACACTAAATGTCTCATCTTTCATTCTTTGATTTTTAATCTTCTATTGGTCACCCTGGCTAAATGTTTGTCTATGTCTTTTTCTCTGTTTGTTGTTGTTGTTTGTTGAAACAGGGTCTCTCTATGTAGCCAGGCTGGTCTCCTACCTCAGCCTCCCAAGTGCTAGGACTATAGGCATGAGCTACCACATCCTGTTTCAGTATTGTTGATCTTGTAAAAGAACCAGCTTTAGGTTACATTGATTTTTCTCAACAGAGTTTTTTTATTTTCTCCCTGATCTTTATTTCCTCCTTTTGGGGCTTTGTACTGATATGTGTGTTTATTGTCTTTTCTTGATGGGAGCCAACTGTTAACCATGAAATTATATATGATAGAGCCAGGATAATCATCTAGGTCAGTGCTTCTCAAACTTTAATGCACATACAGTGCTCGGGGTCTCACCTTCTGGTGATTCACTAGTACTGTTTAGACCTATGTTTTCCTGTTTCTAGCATTCTTTGCAGTGATCTAATGCCATATTCCAGGACCACACATAGAGTATCAAGGATCTGTTTTATCTGGCATCAGAGTCATTTGTGGGGTTTTCCGAACTGAGCATGCCATTTCTCTATATTCCAGGGATATTCATATGCCCCTTCCTTAAGAACCATTGCAACCCTCTCTCTCACTGATGAGGAAATTGAGGTTTGAAGGCAGTGAAAGTCTTTGCTTGGAGTCAGGTAATAGGCTAATTTGCACAAATAGATAACTAATATCAAGCAGATGAAGAGTTGTGGATGGAGAGCTAGGCCTTGTAGATCACACCTGTAATCCTAGCTACTTCAGAGGCTGAGATTGAAAGGTTCACAGTTGAAGGCCAGGCAAATAGTTCTCAAGACCCGTGGCATTCTTTCTGAGAGATCCCATGTTTTTTCATACTTTGTGCCTTTACCTAATTATTCCATCTCTCTTCCTCACTTCACTTCTCTGCTCCAACCCTTTCTTTACCTGACTAATAGATTTTTGTCCTTTAAGATTGAACTTAAAAATATGATCTTCTGAAGACTTACAGACATACACCTGCCCCTTTTCTCCAAAGGAAAAATAGGGAGCCACATCAATACTTTCCTTCTATGTATATTGTCATAATATCCTTGTATAGGAGTTCTTATTGCAATGTATTTGCAGTGCATCTCAAACTTTCCCACAGGAGTACAC